GCTTGGGACCATTGGTGAAAGGCTTTGTTGGGAGGAATGGCCTGGTGGAGTGCCAGCACCTGGGTGCCTGCAGGACCAGGCCGGTAAGAAGGAGGTAGGAAGGTAAGGGAGAGTGTTTTGCCGAGGGCAGGTGAATGGTTGATGTGGCATTGAAATTTCCCAGCAGGCTGCCTGTAGCTGGATGTGGGATAGGTTGCCAGTGCCTGGGGTGAGATGTCAAGACTAGTTTGGGAAGCTGCAATTTAAAAATGTGCTGTGTTTTTGGCCAGCTCAGTGTCTTCTCATCCAGCTTCTGCAGTTTATTCCTGTTCAGAACAGTCTTGACTTCTTTTTCCAAAGTTAAAATAGAAAAGAAAAATAAAAAACATGAAAAAAGGGAAGAGCATTTCCCTCTTTTTCCTGGTGGAAAAGTAGATCGGATTTCTAGGTCTCTTATCTCTCTACCTTCTCCATCTTTATTAGGCACATGGGACAGGGCTTTTAAAGCCTATTCCTAGACATGCTTAGGGCCTTTTGTATTTTTTTTTTTCAAATTGATCTTTTAGGAAGAAGTGCCCCCTGCCCCTAACTGCTAATGGAATTATTATACTTAAAAAATTAATATTCTAGCCTCTTCCAAATACAGAAGTGAAGATAGTAAATTACCTTTGGATTACATTTTTAAACTTACATGACAAATCATAAGTTCTTCATAATTAGGTAAACAGAGGAGTCTGTTGTGTTGAGCACAGGATCCCAGGAGTCTTTGGATTTTATGAAGACAGCCTTTCTCTATATTCCCTTGGTATGCAGTTCTCTTAGGAGAACTAGTTAGGATTAATTAACAAATTAGAAAAATAAAATGGATATGAATGTGTTTGTACCTCACGCTGGTGAAGTAAGTCAGGCCAGTTATATTCCCAAGGGGATTGTGGAAGTTCTTATGAGGGCACCTGAGTAAGTACTTGATGAAAACCAAGAAAATGCAATAGACTGCTCATGCCAGGTTCCCAGTGGCCATTCCTATAGACAGCTGAGCAGTGTATACCGAGAGTGTTTTTGTCCACTTGGAGAGAGAGACCAGTTTAATTCTTATCAAATGGCTAACATATAGAAGGCCTGCTTATCTCATGAGGGCATCAGGAGGAGGCAAAGGGAGGTCTGCTCCTTCCCCACATCACGACGCCCCTTTCCCAGCCCTTTTCCTACCTGTACCCTAACACTTGTAAATTCCACATAAACGGGACCTTTGCCTGTCTTGTTCACTGTTGAATCCCCAGGGCTTAGAACAGTCCTCAGCATCCAGGAAGCACTCAATAAATTACCCATTTTTAATTAATAAATGAATTAACTTAAACTGGCAAAAATATTGAAGGCGTTGAGTGACAGACTTAGGACCTTAAAGAGATCTACTAGAATTATAAGTTGAATCTACCATGATAAAATGTAATGAGGAAAAAATGAAAAACCCTGCCCTTAGGTCCAGAAATCAACTATACAATGTCCCAGGTGGAGAAATACAGCTTGGCAATATCTTATGTGAAAAATTTATTCCACGGTAAACACAACTTAAATCAGCAAGGTACTATAATTGGGATAAAAGTTTAATATGATTGTAGGCCATGTTAATTAAGATAGGATATCTAGAATGAAGAAGGTCATAGCACTTGTCTTCTTTGTGTTGCTGTCAGGTGGTACTTGAAGTACCATGCTCTATTCTTCTATTGTGGATACTAAACTCAAAATAAGACGTGGGCAGTTAAGGGTGCATTTAGGCGGGGGGCGGTGGCTCATTGCCTATTATCCCAGCACTTTGGGAGGCCAAGATGGGTGAATCACCTGAGGTCAGGAGTTCAAGACCAGCCTGACCAACAAGGTGAAACCCCTGTCTCTACTAAAAATACAAAAATTAGCCGGGCATAATGGTAGGCACCTGTAATCCCAGCTATTCAGGAGGCTGAGGCAGGAGAACTGCTTGAACCTGGAAGGTGGAGGTCACAGTGAGCCAAGATCATGCCACTGCACTCCAGCTTGGATGACAGAGTGAGATTCTGTCTCAAAAATAAATAAATAAATCAAAATTAAAAGAGTGTGTTTAATGGAGACTAGTCAGGACCATGAGGGGACTCAGAAAGTGAAGGATAATTGGTGACATTGAGGACAGTTTTAGGCAGCCCAAGAGAAGGTTCAATAGCTTCAACCTCCATGTATCTGAGGAGCTAGTCCCTGGAAGAAGTATTGTATTTGTTCTTCGTATTATCAGGGGTCAAACGTAGGGCACATGTGTGAAGGTTTCAGGAAGACACATTTTATCTCATCAAAAAGGACTTCTAGGTTTGTCTGAGCCGCACTGAGCCTCGCGGACAGTGAGTCTTCTGCTTCTGAGTTTTTGAATGGATTGTGCAAAGGCTGCACAAAGTCTCAAGTACCCAGTTGAACTTGAGCTTCTGTAAGATATCTTCAGTAGAGATAAGTTGTGTGGGCAGATGGGGCTGCTAGGAGAAATCATGTTTCATTGATTTCAGGGCTGGCCCAACATTAGAATTCTTTCTCATGAGCTGCACTGCTGGGATACAATGTAAGGGTATTCTCATTTACCTGGTCTGGCTCTATGAAACCTGTGTAATATAACTCAGATCACCTGGAGCTTGTAAGTAGATGCAATCATTCATTTAACAACTATTTAATGAGCACTGGCTCTGTGTACTGAAGTACTTGCTTGGGGTTGAGTTAGAATAATAAGCAAGATTCATTTCCTGTCCTTAGTAACCTTAAAGGTACAGTGCCCACAGGACCTCTGCTCTAAAGATGAATATTTTAGCTTGGAGGCTCCATTCTCAGACTTTACTGAGCATTTGTTTCGCTGCCTTGTATGTGTGCTTCTTGGTTCTTCACATGGACTAGCATTTCCTTGAATACAGGGATTGTTTCTTATTTAATTTTAGCACAATCTCAAAGCACAGTGGTTGGTATAATAGCAGGTATTCAATAAATGTTTGTATAAACAAAACAAACTATACAGATCATTGCCCTGCAAATGAGTTGGGAACAAGAGTATATCCTAGGAAAGTCCAGTGGAGGGGCAGTGTCTTGAAAAACTAAAGGAATACTTAAAAAGTCTTCTAGGCCTTGGGGATGGGAGCGGGAATCGGGTAGGGATTGGGTGGGAGTTGACAAAGCCAGACTGGCTCCAAGGATGATGAAATCTGGGCCACAGAAATGCTAGACAGACCATGACAACAGCCTGCATTATGGGAGATGGGCAATGTTGGTCTTTACTAAGGGGTGGCACCAGCCTCAGGAATCACTTAGTCTAACATATCATTCAGTACCAAGTCACACATACAAGAATGGGCTACAAACATGTCAGAACTTCCAGTTGAGTCATTTAGAGAGAGGAAGAGGAGCAAGTAGTTTCAGAGAGGTCTGAAGCTTGGGTTTAAGGTAGGGGAGTGCTTTTCTTATTGCAGAAAATGTGGCTGGGCTCAGAGGACCTATTCGGAACACAAGGGGGTCTACTAGCTGGAAGAGATGAAGTTAATTCTAATAAGCAGCATTTGGAAGAAGCTGAAGATCCTACAGGATCTGGAAGCCAGGTCTCCCCTGGACAAAGGGTCTGCTCAATGTAGTCTAGCATCCAAGAGAGACAAGACTGTGGCAAGAAGAAACCAGGACTGACTGCCAGGCTGAGCCAGTCAGGTTAATACAGGTGGACACTTACCTTTGAATAAACAATATATGTTCTTCATCTTAATCAATCTTTATCCTTTGAATTTATTTTATTTTCTCCTATTTTTAAACATTCATTTTCGCAATTCCAGACTCAGTGAGTCTTTTTATGAGAGTGTGTGGAGCATGAGCTGTGGCCTATGGAGGCACATTTCTATGTCTGACTTTTAGATCTATCACTTATTTGTTGGGTGTCCCTGAGCAAGTGTATTCACCTTTCTAAGCTTCAGTGTCCTTGTTGTAAAGTAAGGGTGATGATAGTAGTTTCCTCACAGATTTCTTGAGAGAATTAAAAAAATGCCTGTAAAGTCTTAACGTAGCATTTGAGTTCCATAAATGTCAGCTCTGTGGTTATTGATGTTACTAAGCTGAAGAGGCAAGAGGGCAAGGGGATGACTGCTGCCTCCAAGCTGAAAGAAAGACATCCTCATATTTGAGAAGGAAGAAGAGATAAGAAATTCCGCCTTGGGCATGTTGAGTTTAATGAGTCAGTGGGAAATCCAGGTTGAATTAAAGTAAGGGTCCAGAGGTCAGGAGAGCACAGGACTAAGTATTCGAATTTATGCATCAAATGCAGAGGTGGTGCGTAAAATAAATTAGGAAGGGAGAGGGGTCTGGCCTCTATATTTAAGGGTTATCAGAGGAAAATGACTAAGAAGGAGATGAGAAGGAGCAGCTAGAAATAGATGAAAGCCAGGATAGAGGCATGTCTAGAGAGGCAAAGGACAAGTGTTTGATTATGGAAGAAGTGGCCAAGGAAGATAAAAGTAAGCCAGGACTGGAGGTGGCCTTGGATTTAGCAATGATTGTACCACTTGTTGCTTTTATTAGGTCAGACAAGGGAGCAGTCATAGCGAAAACCAAACTGCTGTAGATTGATAAATAAAGAAAAGGTAAAATATTCATAAAATAGGAAGAAAAAAAATCAGATTAAAAACATATGTCTGGCTGGGTACAATGGCCCAGGTCTATAATTCCAGCACTTTGGGAGGCTAAAGTGGGAGGAGTGCTTAGGTCCAGGAGTTTGAGACCAACCTGAGCAACATGGTGAGATCCTATTTCTACAATAAAAATAAAAATAAAAAATAGCCAGATGTGGTGGTTTGCGCCTGTAGTCCCAGCTACTCTGGGGGCCGAGGTGGGAGGATTGTTTGAACCCTGCTGCGGTGACATGTGATTGCATCACTGCCCTCCACCCAGACAAAAAACAGAAAACAAAACAAAACAACAAAAAGAGAAAAATCATTTGCTTGTTATAATCAATTTTTGTTAAAAAAAAGAGAAATATTTACATGGGTGATGGCATTTAAAGGATAATTGTTCCTTTTCTGATATCACTTGCTGACTGCTTGTCAAGACGGGAGGATCAAGCTTCCCCTAGACTGTTATTTTCAGTTCTGTGCTGCTACAACCTGCTTTGGACTTTCAGACCGTGCCTCTGGTGCTCTCTCTGCTGTATACTTGATGGCCAAACTCTGCTTCCGGAGCCTACTTTTCGGTGCTCTCCAAAGACTGAACAATTACACAGCTCTGGCTCTTTCTGCTTCAGGCTGCTTTAGAAATGCACTCCACCCATCCCGCTTGACCCTTGGGACACAGGTTCCAGAATAAGAATGTGCCTGTGCCAGCCTGCCCCAGTGGGCAGGTGCACTGCTCTTAGGAGTTATATGATGAAAATACGTATGTTTCTGCGGAAGTGTTGCTCATTAGCAAATCAAAGCCCCCAGCAAAATTGGTTACTGTAGGAGATAATGTTCCCACAAAATCACTTCCCACTTTCCCACGCTGAATCATGTCCTGGTTTCATTTTCTCAGGCAGATAACAACTTCTGTCAATTGCACAGAAATTATTTCTCTTAAATCACTGACTGGAGAGTTTTATACACTGGAAGACAAGTTATGTTTTAAAGCTCGGTCATGGGAGAAGAAGGAAACCAGGAGTTGATGGGAATAAACGTTTCTACTCACCTCAAGCCTTCACAGCACCCCCACTGGTTCATGTGACTTTAGATGAATCCTCAGCCTTTCATTCTGTCATCTGTAAAAGGGAATTGTGACGCCAACCTTCCCTGTCATGAGAAACCCATGTGTTAACAGTTCACAGGGCTATAAAAGCTGATTGTCCTTAGTGAACCTTCTCCAATGCTGCGTCATTTTACTCCCAGAAACTATCTCATCTTTTTCCTAAGAAGCTTATCCCATGACAAGGGAAATGTCTAAGAAAATATAACCATTTAATATCAATTGTAATCTGCAACTCAAAATGCGTCATGCTCAGCTCAGCCTGCTGCTACCTTCTCTTGGACCTTGATTCTGGGAGGTATAATATTTTTGAAATACTATCCTATGGTTTTTTCCCCCCGTGGTACTTTCTCCTCTTTGTCTCTTACTTGCCCTCATATAAATAACTAGCCCATGTGTATTGCCTCTGTGGAGAGAGAAAGCTTTGCTGGGGCTTTCGTTTTTCACCGAGGCTTAAAAACAGGAGTGAGACCAAGGCAGAAGTGGCTTGGAAAACAGGGAAGAAAACGTCTCACCAATGGCCTGCCCCACCAGGAAGGATTTCTTGGGCTATCAGAATAAGAAATAAATGAGAAAAGGCAGGAAAGTTTGGGGGGGTTCCTGGAGAAGGTCCTGTGCCAAGTTGGAGGATTTGGCAATGGCTCCAGATAGCTTGGGGGATCTAAGAGGAGAGAGAGCAGCTGGTGAGAGAAAGAAAAATGGCTTTGCCATGTGGCTCTGACCAGATGGGACGTTAGACACCTCCTAGAGTTTCTCATACCATATTGTCATGAGGGCGCAGTAGGTGACATCTCTGCATCCAAGGATGGTGCAGACGGAAACCAAGGACATTTTTTCAGGTGCTCAGATGGACCAGCCACTTATGAGGAGGTGTGATGCAAGATGAGACAGCAGATGCCAATGTGAGATGACTCTGAGGTTTAAATGCAAGTGCTCTTTCAGTTGGCCACCCCATCACACACATGTGCACACACACACACACACCACACACATGCACATCAACCACACACACACAGACACAGCTTAGCACTAGGTCAGATTGAAGCATTTATGTGAAAATAAAACTTGGAGAGAATTAGATTGCATTTCTACCACCTCAGTGGAATAAGGACCCAAGAAAGGGACTGGTTTCTGAAAGAAAGAAAGCTGTATTTCTCATGTATCAGAATTTGTAGACTAAGATGCTTCCCACAGTTGATTAGCTGTTCTTCCTTCTTTTAATTTTTTCTTTTCTTTTTTTCACCGTTATCCATCTCTGTTACTTTCCCTAGCCTCTTCTCTTTTGACTTATATATGTGCACAGGACTTTTCTAACATTAATCCCCAAAAAATAGTAAGCCACACGTCCTCAACCCTCCCGATGCCATCTGTTTGCAGCCCACTAGGACCAGTCTCGTTATTCTCCTAGGTCCTGTTTATTTCAGTTGCTGTAAGAAGCCCCAGATATCTTCTGGTCTCCTTTCATCTTCCACACTTCTCATATTTTGTCCCATGTCCAAGCCCTCCCCAGCTCCTGAAATCTTCCACCGGACCCTCAGGGACTCATGGAACATCATAGCCAAACCTCTGTAGCAGCAGCTGTTTGGGTCCCCGTGCTGATCATCTGCCTGCTTGTTTTCAGGCCCATTTCCCACTTTTCCTGTCCTCTGCTCTCTATGACAGGTGACAGAGCTCGGCAAAAGCTCTATTGTCACCTGGCTGCCATCTAGGTCCTGCCAACAGAAAGCACTTGGTGGGACGTTAAGGAGCGATGGGAAAGAAGAAAACGGTATTCTTCCCCATCCTCTCCACATCGGCCTCTAGCAGCGTCTTCTTTCTTTCTGGTTCCTTCTGGATGAACTTCCTCTGTGGTTCCAGTTCCCACCTGGTGCCAGGTCCTGCTAGGTGGCTGAGCTCCTGGGCTCTGGCACCATCCCCTCCTCCTCGGGGTTTCCAGACAAATCACGACAGTGGTCTTGTAGTCTTGTTAATCTCTGAGTTTCTTTACGTGACCTCATTGGGCTTCTCAGTGCTTCCAGTAACTCTTATTAATATAACCAGTTTTTTGAGTAAAATAAACTGATGTGGGTTCTTTTCTCCTGATTGGACCCTGATACAGTTTTGTTCACCTTCCTGCTCTGACCAAAACCAACATCTTTTTTGAGGATCCTACTTCCCCTGCAGCCCTTTCCTTTGGTGACATTTTTCCCCCTCTCAAAACTCTAGTCCCACTGAATCTAGATACGGGTTAGGTGTCCATCCTTGTCTTGCTACCATTTTCAGGCTGTTCTTCTTCCGTTCTACCCTAATCTCTTTGAACTTTGAGTCTCCCTTCATCATGCTATACCTTCTATTCCCCTTCATCTCTGGTCCTTGGATTATTTGTTTCTGGATGAATTTAGCTACTGGCTCTTTATTATACTCTTCAATACTATTCCTGTCTCGATTCTTGGTGATTTCAACAAAAATCACATCACAAATGATTCCTTCAACATTTTGCCTTTTTCATTTCTGGAGCTCCCCCACCATGATGATATTGCTCTGCATTCTACCTTAACCACTCATTTCCTTGGTAATATCTTACGCCTTATTATTCTCAATGACTGCAACCCGTTCATAATCTCAGTTTTATGTATGCTACCCTCTGATCTCTTTCTCTAGTGCCCTACATTTCTAGCTCACTCTCTTTAGCACCTGAACTCCATCTATCCCTTGATCCCAGCATGTATTTCAGTGTATTGATTCTTCTACCTATTCACCATTTTTCTCATGCTGTTATTTCTTTATCTGGATTAAATTCCATGTCAATTATTACTCACTCCCATGCATACAGCCTCAAATAACTCAAGCCCTTTTCTTGCTTTAGTATAACTTGACAATCCTGATTAAAACCAATTTTTCATCTACTCTGCCCCTGAATCTGAGCAACTTCGTACACCTGGGCAAAAACACAGCCATTAGGTCAGGAACCTGTCTATCAACAGGCCCTTAGTGCTGACTGAGAAACAGACTACATTTTCTTAGCCATTCACTTCCTGTGTATTCTAGATTATTTCACACCTTCTCCTCTCTCCTCCAACCTCATGGGAATCATAGAGGTGTGTCACTCAGATCTCCTGCTGCAAGTACTTGTGAGGCACAGGTGATGAGCTGCCTCTAGCTGCTGCAACTTCAGGCTCCCCAGGGCATTCATACTAAGGCCATTCTTCCCCCAGACTTCTCCCAGTCAGTGACTGGTGGGAGTACTAGAACCAGGCCACTCCCATCCAACATGAGACTGCTTTAATGGGATTCTTTGCTTTGGGACACTTCATTGGCCTGGTAAGACGGTCTCAGAATTGTACTTAAGTGTCTCTTCCTCCTTCCTGTCTTCTTTCAAAGACGGCAGATTTGGATTAAAGTTTGAAGACTCTTTCCATGTCTCTTCCTTTCTTCCCCATTGTTTATTTTTATTTTTTATTTTTTAAGATGGAGTCTTACTCTGTCGCCAGGCTGGAGTGCAGTGCCGCAATCTTGGCTCATTGCAACCTCTGACTCCTGGGTTCAAAAAATTCTCCTGCCTCAGCCTCCCAAGTAACTGGGATTACAAGCACAGGTCACCATGCCTGGCTAAGTTTTTGAATCTTTAGTAGAGATCGGGTTTCACCATGTTGGCCAGGATGGTCTCGAACTCTTGACCTTGTGATCCGCCTGCCTCAGCTTCCTAAAAGTGCTGGAATTACAGGCAGGAGTCACCACACCTGGCCTCTTCTCCATTATTATTCCTGGATGTTTCCCCAATAAATCTCTTTTATATCTACTTCCATCTTGATACCTGCTTCTTGGAGGATCAGAACTGGTCTTGAACACTTGAATGCTAACTCCCAATGCTCCCTCTCCACTGAAGATTTTGTTTTATAAATCAATAAGAAAATCAAAACCATCAGATTAGAATTTTCACAAAGTTCCCACACCTTATTTATTCACCTGTCCCTTTATATCCTGTCATTTCACTTGTTACCATAGATGACCTATCCATTTTTTTTTTTTTTTTTTTGAGACAGAGTCTTGCTCTGTTGCCAGGTGCCAGGCTGGAGGGCAGTGGTGTGATCTCAGCTCACTGCAACCTCTGCCTCTGGGTTCAAGCAATTCTCCTGCCTCAGCCTCCCAAGTAGCTGGGACTACAGGCGGGCACCACCACGCCCAGCTAATTTTTGTATTTTTAGTAGAGACGGGTTTCACCATGTTGGCCAGGATGGTCTCAATCTCCTGACCTCATGATCTGCCTGCCTCGGTCTCCCAAAGTGTTGGGATTAAAGCCATGAGCCACCACGCCCAGCCAACCTATCCATTTTATTATCTACGGGCCAACCTCTCCACTTGGGTACCAGACTCCATCCCAACTTTGATATTCAAGGAAATATCTCCAGTAAATACTTTTCGCTTGTGTGTGTCTCCTCCCTTTTCTATGTCATTAATTCCTCCTCTCTACTGTAACATTCCTATCAGCAAAAAGCATGTTATTGTGTCACCTACCCTCAAAAACTATTTTCTTGATCTTATTTTTCCACTCCCTACTAGCACATTTTACTGTCCTTTTCACCTAAATTCCTGAAATGCATTCATTTTTTTGTAGTATTTCCATACTTACAGTTTCTCTCTTCCCAAATCTTTTAACTGTAACTCAGCCTTGTTTTCACTTACTCTACCAAAACTGCTCTTGTTGAGGTTAGCAACAGCCTTTACATGCCTAAATCCAGTGGCCAATTTTAATGACCTATCCATACTACCTGATACAGCTGATCGCTCCCTCCTATTTCTTCTTTCTTGTTTATTAACATCCAGGCCACTGTACTCTTTTGGTTTACCTCCTTTCTCATTATTACTTCACTCTCCTGCTGGTTTCTCATAGGCTTCATGGATTTCTTTTTTAGTGACAATGGAGTGCTCCAGAGCTCTCTGCAGTCACTCACTTGATGATATTGTTCAGACCCATGGGTCTGACAA